CAGGAGTTCCTCCAGTTTCGGACTTAATGGTTTTCTACCACCTCCACTCAATCTGCTCCGTTGCTTTCCTTTAGTAGATCCAAGCAAACCTTCAATATTACTTTTCTCAGTTAGCTCGCCATTCTCGTACTCTCTTCTCATCACTTGAGAATCGCTTAGAGGCGGGTCGATTCCCCCTTGCTTCGGCATAAGCAATCACTTCTTTTTTAAACGCTTGGCTGTACTTTTGAATCTTCTTTCCCTTATGGGAAATCGCGTTTCGCCAACCACAATGAAGCAATGTTGCAAGTTTCCTTTTAATTTTCGTAGCCTGGGAACGTTGACCCTGATTGGCCGAAACGCATCAAATGGCGTCAACGGGATTCGCATTTGCGGAGGTGTGGTGTCTCTAGGTCTAGCGTGGCATTTAGACCCGTACCGTTTTCAGAGAGCACTCTTTTATTTAAGCAAACAAAGGAAAAATGGGGAGAGCTTCGCCAATAGAGTTTAAAAGGTATTTCAAAGTAAATTTCGAAACATTTATCAGAGGGCATAATGTTTGCAAGCATACCTGAACCCCCGTTATCGATCAAGTTCTGCAGTGTGAAAAAGACAGTCGCGCTGAAGCCCAAGAACACGATTCTAAGGCTGGAATTTCTCCAGTCTTCTAAACTGCGTTTGCTCCTTAGAGCTCGACTCCGGCGTTTCCTTCAACGAGTTGAAAAACAGGTGATTACCTATCATATCAATTCTTAAACCCCCAAGAGTGACTAAAATCTAGATTTTCCTTTCAGTTTCACTGCTGAATCAAACGTTAAGGTAAAAGGAATAAAAGAAGTCATCGCAACTGAAGAATCTCTTGATTGTTGAACAAATTCTCCTTGTCAGCACCATAGCAAATGTATAGTGACAATTATGGAGAATATGCATACTGATGTTAGGGTGTGAGGGGTCAACTTGTGACAGCGTGGCTCCGTAGAATATCGTGATAAAATCTAAATTTACCTTCCTTCTAAGTGACTGGGCGAAATATCAGGTTACCTTTTTTGTCCTCAAAATCATTTCGCACGTCCAAAAGTTTGTGTTGACTATCAACGTTTGAATATATAGTTGTAAAAAGCTTTTCATATTATCGAGATGAAAATAGGTCAAAACTCGTTGCATTGGTAACATCGAGGAGTCAAACCGCTCCTGTTTTCGACATTTAAGACCAAAACAATTTAAACAATGTTATTTTTCTATACATATACTTTATGCTTGGATAAAACGTTTTCACAAATCTGGAAAAAATGTGTGAAATGGATTCGGAACACAATCTAAAATTAAAGCAGCTTTAGGCCCTGAAGACCCGCCTGAAGATTACGATTTTTTTGGTCGAGTACACTTATAAACAAATGTACCATAACTTAACTCACGAGATGTATGGGAGTTTCCAAATATATAGAAAACATTGCTTCAAAGCTACTTTTCAGATCCCCAAGGAAACAAATTTTGGCGTCAGTATCATGATATCAATATCACAATGATATTAATTACTTCCCTCGTGAAATGTTTAATGCATCATCCGCTAATGTACAAGAATTTCATGGGTGAAATGGTGATTACTATTTATAGATGAGCATCCATAAGCTATCAAAAGGCATTGATACATAATTAAAATAAATAAATCAACCACAACCTTCCATTGACAAAACTCTCATTGATGCAGAAATGACATCATGAAAAGTTTACCAACGAGGCTCTACAGCAATGCAGGGGCGTGGCTGGGAATTTTCAAAGGAGAGTCACAGTTACGAATTTCCGCACGCTTTAAGTGAAGTGGTTTATACCGCTGCTCTTCGTTGGGTATTCGCGGGTTCGTATTTTTGCCGCGAGAAGAACCGGCAAATGGAACTGGAAATGAAGCTATGTCGTGTAGAGTCTTCGGATCTGCGCGTTTTCACTAATATGAAGTATAAAATGTCACTAACTAAAATAGAAATTGTCTCGTAAAGCAATGGAGAGAGGGGGACATTCTGCACTCATCAAAGCCACGCCCCTCGCAATAACCACGCGATTATTTCAACAGTTATTGTCAAAATCATTTTCCGACCTGTCTTTAAGTGTTATCTGTTTCCATGTGCTTGATCTTGTAGGTGATTCATTGTTCTTTCTTCTAGTACTTGTTGTACAAGCTACCTGATGAGTAGTGATGCAGACAAAACTTAATAGCGACGTACAACAACTGCAATTTATAACAATATAAACTGTAACGTTCAACGATCAGGTTTTATTCTGAGAGAGGGTGACTCTTATATAAAATTTACGGGGTGATCACCGGTCACTTTGATAGGGGAACGCTCAAGTTACTGAAATTGTATCTGCGGGTGTGCCTCCCCCCCTCCTCACCCCAAGAAATAGTAATTCTTACAATATTTTGTCTGCCTTTTTAGACCTTAGAACGTACCTGGTAAAAAAAAAAAAGTATCCCCTGCCCCCACCCCCCTAAATTCCGGACACATCGTCATTCCGTGAACCCTTTACAACCGAACATCAGCATACCTATTCTCCATACTGTTCTCTATACATTTCCTAAGGGGCTGACAAGGTGAATTCATTTCCAACCAAGAGCTTCTTTCGTTGGTGATCATCTTCTTTATTCTTGTCACCTTAATGTGTGATCCCGGTGTGATATTGTAAGAGGAAATTGGATGTTGATCACTCTTTGGGGTCTTTCGTAATTTTCCATATATAATATTTCATTTTGTCCAATGAAGATGCAATTTTTGTGCATAAATTTGCTAGTTGTGCTTGTAATAAGCTTCAATAGATTTCACAAATTTCACAAGATAGAGCAGAGGTATAAACGTTAGCAATTAGGTTTTACTCCTTCACCGTGATCAGAACAGGTTTTGTCTTTTCTTGTCCTACTTCAAGTTGGTGACAAGATGAAGCTTAAATTTCATTTTCCAGTTTTATTTATTTTTCTTTTTAGAGGAGAGAGACTCTGCATATTGTTAAGCTCTTAGAAGACCGGTCTTAGAAGACTGGATAGGGAGGCGAGAAAGAGAGAGAAAGAAACGTTATAAAACGGATGTCAAGATAGAGAGACTCGTCACAGCATCTTGCTCAAAATTAAACGACGTACTATTAAAGCAAACAAAATTGTTGGTAACTTACATTGAAGAACAGAAGAATTAGATAACTTACATGACCTCAAAGAATCCTTGACTTCTATCACTTCACAGTATGAGTTTAGTTTGCTTGTCCTTGCTGGCTGCAACTCGCGTGCGAAGACAGTTGCGCACCAGAACTGTATATTCTGAACCACCCAATATTTAAGCTTAGTCTTTCAGACGTTAGATATGTCCTGTATATGTTGGGCAATGATTTCTTTGACCAACAACAGTGAATCAAGGCAAAGAGTTTTAAACCTGAAACGACCAAGCGAAGCTTGGAGCTCCACGTGCAGAAATAAACAAAAGTGAGATGAATTTGAAATGATTGTGAATAAATTTAAAATACTGATGTAAATTTAGCGGGCCCCCAAGTTCTAAGTCGAAATAATAGGGTGAGTAAGGGAGGGACGGGGAGGAGGGTGTGTGATTCATTCCGGTGACAATTCTGCGCTTTGAAGTGGAGTATTGGTTTGTAAACAAATTTAAAAAGCAGAAGACCTCGAAATTAAAAAAAACAACAACAACTAGCCACGGCTTTTGACCTAATTCCCGTGTAATAATAATAATAATAATAATAATAATAATAATAATAATAATAATCGTAATAATAATAATCATAATAATGATAATAACGAATCTTTATACGGGATAGCCCTTCAGTGCAGGAGCACTGTTATAAATGGGGTCCTGTCTAAATAACATTATATAAGGATAAAAACTAGAATAAGATAAGAATGACTACGCACCTAACTAAATGCCCTATGCAAAAAATTGATCTAAAGACTCCCTGAATGGTACCCTACTGCTAATTTGCTTGATTTTTAAAGGTAAAAAATTAAAAATTAAAGTGTCAAATTGCTCAAGTTACATTGACAGCTTGGCCCTTTGATTTTAAAGCAGAAAAGGAAGACTCGATTGGCAACAGGAGTCGCTTACAGGCAGCTATTTCGGATCAAGAAATTGATTCTTTTTCCCCATTGCTACGGAAAAACTGCCTTGTTTTACGCACATTGAACCATTCTGCTGGAGACTGGTGACTATCAATGGCCTTGTGGAAGTTGCAAAACACTTCCAGGTTCTCTTTTAGTCCGCGAAAGAATGATTTGTAACTCAATTTGATTCAAATTGTCGACATGTGGGATTCCTAATTCTTTCAGCAAAACTCCCGTGGCAGGCCATCCCCCCACACACCCCTCCCTCTTTAACGCCCTTGAAGTTGGTCGCACGTAATACCTCGCAGCAAGCCTGTTCGATATTGTGGCATATATCATCATATTTGGAAGGGTTTGCCATGACCTCAGGCAGCGCAAATCAGTTTACCACTGAATGAAACCTGGAGTGTAAGACAACTGTATGTCCATTTCTACAGCTTACTGCTGACCAGCACTCATACACCTACACACACCGTGGTCAATAAAATAACTACAAGCCTATTTTAAAGTAGTCTGAATTTCAGCTGTCTCTTTCCTTTACCCCAAGGGGGGCGCGGGAGAGAGAGAGACGTCTCTCTCCCGCACCCCCCTTGGGGTAAAGGGAAGAGACGGCTGAAATTCAGACTACTTTTAAAGGCCTGTTTGTCCACAGGCAGACCACCCAATAGGTGCGACAAATAGGGCAAACGTCTTGGAAATAAATACCATATTTCTTTCTAAAAAAACTTCAATAATCTGAAACTTAAGGACTAGTGCACCACTTAAATATAGCCATTTTTTGCATCCAAGAGCCGTTTAAAGCGTCCAGTGCTAAATCGTCCTCAACTGTTGGTTTATGTGTGGCAATAGGAGATTAGGCTTGCAACTTAACGCTGCCGAGATCTCACCAATCTGGAGACGGTCGCTGCATACACATAAAATTTAGATTTTAAAGCTGATTAATACCCGTTTTTATAAAATATATTAGAGCTTGGTTTATTTCATATTGTGATCGATTTTGTGAAATGATCAATTCAAAGAAAACAGTAGAGAATTTCCAAGTGTTTCGATTGATGTGTAACAGACTTAAAATAATGTGTACTGTTAGGAAGTGAATTTTTTGAGAAAATCGTATGAACTGACGCTCATTTGATGATTTCTGGTGGTTGGGTTCGTGCAAATTCGAAAATTCTTCGAAACTCTTAGCCTTTCTCATAAACTCTTAACCTCACCCACAACTTACGAAATGAACTGACGTTGATGCAATTCGGTTTGTTAATGGCTCTTGATTAACAAGCTATTTTTGAGCTTAATGACATCCTGAATGAGTTTAAACTGAACGTACAAGTCAACACTGGAGGAATAACCAATCGACAACAACGTTTCCCAGATTTTAAGATGCAAGAGAAATCTTATATATTGGAATTACAAACTTTATCGATTTTCTTTGTTATCATCGTTTACTAAATGGTTTCAGAGTTAGGGTCGTATAAGATTCTTTGAAACCTCCCTGTCTTAAATTCTTGTGTTTGTAAACGAGGTGAGACTTTGCTTCCTGGGGGGAGGAGTGTGGGTGAGGGAGGGAGGGAGGGACGGTTTGTCTACAACATTACTAGTAGCGGTATGTTCAAGCCCAAAAGGAGGGCGATTTTTAGCCGTTTTTGTCTGAAAATGGGTAGAGATTTTCACCTAGAACCGGTATTTGCAGGCGGTGTTCATTGTAAAGAATTGTTTTGGAAGACCTAATAAACTTGAAACTTGAAAGAGGAATACCGAAATATATTCAAAATTCATAACATTACATTTTAACAACCTTAAAACAGGAAATAGCTTTAAAAACACTTGAAGGGTCGGATTTAGTTTGAGAAAGGGTGAGGACTTAGGGGGCCTTGGATCTACAAATGGGTTCGGACAGTTCCATGTTTTGGTCCGAGCTAGGATCAGGAGGGGAAGATCTGAACGGGACACCCGTGTTAAGAAATGCATAGGAAGACGAATCCACAGAAAGACCCCCCTGTGGTATCCCACGCTCTCTCTTCTTCCCCCCCCCCTCCCCCATCATCACTTCCTAGGTTTTACTTTCTTTATCACGGGGCAAATTTAAAACCAAGACTTCCTTACTTAGGCAAATAAAAAATTAAAACTTTTTAATTAACGACTAACAGTCGCCACATAATTATTTTCTGTCAATGAAAGAAGTTCCTGTCTATGATCAGCTAGGAAAAATATCGTGCTGTAGCTTGAGAAATACTATGATCACTTGATCTACATAAGGCTATTAAGCCTAGTTTATAGTTTTTTTGCCTCTATGCAACCAAATTCTTTCTGTTTCAGCTTTAATTCTAGAAATCTTGCTTTCATGTGAGGTTTTACTGTGGTAACATGAAACTACTGTTATGTTTTTTTTTTCTGCAGGTTTCCGTGATGTTTTTGTGTGCGTAGAGGTTATGAAAAGTCAAGACAAAACATCCAGCTATTCTTGTTGTAGACCACTAATTGATGTTTTCGCTATCTGCTCGGGTAACTATGAATAATTCAAATCAAATTTGGTGCGCATAAACAGAGAAAGAGGACAGCTTAAAGGCGGGTCTCCAATGAAAGTGGCACACTTGAAAAATGGACAAACAGGGAGCTTTTTTCCACATGGCTTGCTCTAAAAACACCAGCTGCTGTCGGGATAAGCAATTCACTGAAACGACGGATGAATATGAAATCTGAGTGTTAACAACAAGTTTGTTTGAGAGTTCTTTTCTTCCTTTCGTCGAATATAAAATAAATTAATTGAATGGTTGATAACACTTCCGGTGTTTTGGTCATTCGCGAAAAATTGGATAAGTTTCCCTACAACTTTTCCTTTTTACAAATTAAGTTCATCTAAAATCATATTTGAGGCATCTGATTCTCCTTTTGCATAATCAACACCTTGGTCATAGTCATACTCTGGTGGTTCTTCAAATGAATCCAAAATATCACCGAATGATTGTTCACCTAATGATTGCTCATCAGGCTCTAATTTAATTTTTCGCACCACTGGCGGGGGTACCTTAGAATCATCATAAAAGAGACCCTCCACATCCATAGGACCCTCCACATCCACATTCGCAGAATTTTTTTTTTTTTTGGCGAAGTTCGTTAACTAATGATCGTATTTGTGCCAATTAACTGGCTGATGATTGTTTTTCACTGCGCAGTTCGTAGTAGTTCTCATTCAAATAAAAAATTGGACAAAAAATAAACACCAGGCTATCTGAAAACTTCACGGAAGTTAGATCGAAACCATATTTAATTGAAGTCGATCTGTCAACAACAAACTCAGCCTACGGCAAACTATTTGCAAACGACTCTTTACTCTCAAAAATTACCACGTATAGACGTTTCGCTTTTTAAAATTGCCACCGATGGTGTCATCTTATAAGATTGTTTATTTTGAAAAGCAATGCTCTGTGTTACGATTCAATCAAGATAAGATGTATTTGCCTTGTGCTTTGTTACACTGCCTTGTTTATTAAACGAACTGGCGAAACGAAAACAACCAGCGACAGACAAATGGCGCTGAATCCCTAAAATAACCCAAAAATTAGTCTTAATTTAAACTCGACAGCCAAATTGCCCAATCTGATGTCGATTACGCCTCTTCTTAATTAGAGAAATTTATATAAATGAGAATAAACTTCAATTCAAAAGATGCAAAATGATACGAGTCTTCGGTTTGGCTTCAGAAAGACAAGAATAGAACTTCATCGCATTCACCTCTTTCTTCATTGGTTAAGCTGCAGTCGTTTTATTACGCGGAGTTTTAATTTTCGATGCATGCAATATAAAAATTCTCTTGTCATTGGATTCATTAAAGACAAACGGAAATCCTTTAGGGATGTTTTGATCATAAAATTTTCAGATCCTTTAACACTCGAAAAACTCTTAAATTGGAAACGGTTCTCAATTTAAATACATTTGATTGAACATTTCCCCGTAATATACGTAGTAATAGTAAAAGGTATCCGGGAAACCCGCATAAATTAAACAATTTGTATTGTCAAATTCTTTATTCATTTACAAACTTTCTAATATCTTAATACAATTTTTCTCGAGCTCCTCTGTAACTCGAAGAGCGCCTTGACATTTCACTTTAAATGTTACAGTTTATAAGGAAGCATATTCCACGGTCCTAAAAACTAAAGTCCGTATCAGTTCTTTAAAAATGCTGTGATTTTACGTGCAATTTGACCAGGCATGTTTCAGTGAACAAAAACAGGA